TATATATATATCAAAAGTTGATTGAAGTACAGACAACTAAACCCTGCACTGGGATTGCTAGGAAACTAGAGCTGAAATGTGTCAAGAACATGAATTCATCTTTTATGATGAAGTCAGTTTGAATTTAATATTTTTCAAATACTTTAACGAAATGTAGACTCAGTGACTGTGTCTACATTTCATTTTTAACTTGTCTACATTTCATTTAATTTGTTATTGCTTCATAAATAATAAAATATTTATCATTTTTCAAATATTTATTAAAAGAAATTAAACATAAAATACCCCTTTTTTTCCACTTTGGGAGTCAATAATAGTTCAATCAATCAATTAATAATAGTTTGAGAAGTTAAAATGATTAACTTAGTTTAGAGTGAAGCCAAAGGACACATATAATCATCTACAATGGCTTTTTGTTGAGGGGGTTAAAATTTTTTTAAATTTCTGACTTACATCTAAAATGGGCTAACTGTAAATGTTTCAATAAAGTTTAACAAGTTTTGTTAAACATAAATCTAAAGCTGAAAAAATATTATTTGTAGTTTATAAACAGGCTTTTGCATTTACAATCTGCAATTCCTTACCTTCAAAACGTTCAAATATTAATGAGTCTAAAGGCCTTGTCAGACTATAACGTTTTAGACAGCTTGTGAAAAGTTTGCCCAACACTAAAGATGTCTAAAATGAAGATGGAATTTTGGACCTATACAATAATAGTAACGGMTAGATCGAAATATAGTCAATAGTCATGACAAAATTTAGAGAAGTCGGCATAAAGCKTTATAGTGTGACAGGACCTTTAGTGGATTAAGTTACACCTGGAGCAAAACGTAAGAGAGGAAAAGGTACAAAAGATCAAATGATGATTAGTTTGTTTTTAAAAAGATATTCTATCATTGTTGGTCATTTACATTAAAGCCCTATAGTGTAAATAAAAAAACTGATCTATTCATGTTTGTGAGAAGATCTGTCATTTCCTGAAAGAAACAATATTTTAAACTTTACTATTAATATCATTCAAAAACTGAAGTCAGGTCAAAAATAATTGAGGCTCATTATTTGTGTAGACAGAAATAACTTTTTCTGCCACATGCTGTAAGTCAAGAGGCTTGTTTCTTTGGTGGATTGATGTGTAGTTAAAGGTTCAGCCCCGAAACAGAATCTGTTATACTTTAAAAAGAGTTACTGTATGTTTTAAATCTCCACACAAACACAGGATAGACTCATGTTGCTGACAGAATATTTTTACATTTAAAGACACAGAAAGGATGCTTTGTGTGATACAAGTCCCTGACAGACAGACAGAGTCTCTCTCTCTCTCTCTCTCTATACATACACACGAAATTGTTGGTGCCCCTTGTTTCATGAGTTTTGTTTTTGTTTTTCTTTTGAAGCATGGTTGAAAACCAGTGTCTGACTTGCATTTGTTTTCATAGAAATTTTATTTATTATTACTTTTGACAGATTCKAGTTATTTCTGTGACCATTGTGGGTTTTTCTTTTATTGAGTGGTAACAACATTTTGTCCACGTGTATGTGTATATATAAATTTTTGTGTGTAGTTAATGTAAAACTTTCAAGCATTAAACTTAATATTATTAAATTTGGCAGGCAGAAATGAAATTAACAACAAACTTTTACCTGTTTTTCCATGCAGAGTAGCAGGCGGCTGGTGTTTATTTCCATCAGTCATTGGGCGAGAGGTGGGACACACCGTGGACAGGTCAGCAGTCCAACATGGGGACACAGAGACACAAACTATTCACAGCCTCACTCACAACTGGGGACAGAGTTACCAGTTAACTAACATGCAGGTTACACATACAGGAGGAAACCTGAGAACCTGCAGACWTCCACACAATATTAAGAAAAAGGTTAATTTGTCCAGATTTTTAAAAATAATCACTGGATGAATAAATTCTACTTGCCTTTCAGGAATTCTACCAAGGTCCCAGAAATCCTCGTTTGTGGAAAACTTTAAAATCAGTAATGGTGTACCTGTACCTTTGTTTTTTTTTAATAAAAAGTTTAATTTGTATTGTTTAAAGATTAGACC